ATAGTGTGTGTCATTTTAAAAGACACAATTTGAGTTTTTTTTTTTTTTTTTTGGTAAACCAAACTTAGGTCCTTTTAAGAGAGAGGTAAACACAAAAAAGTGATATTCATACTTTTTTTGTCATTATTTTTTCTGTGGGACCATATCTCTTTATATTTATCTCTCTTTTAAAAGGATCTAAGTTTATGTCCTTTAAAAAGACACATACTTTTCCCTTTCAATAAACCTAAAACACAACTTTTTTTTGTAATCGGTAAATTATTTTAACAAAAATATGACAGCAGGAGGAATATTGCAGCGTTTTGATAGTACAATAGGGTTACGGAAAAAATATTTATCATTTTAAATGACATAATTTGTGTTATTTTATTCTCACAAAGAGGTGGGATCCACATATTTATTTTTTTGTCCATTCTCTTTTCCTCATGATCTATCTCTTTTTCTCACTTAAAATGATACAACTTTACATCCTTTAAAATGACACACACTTTTCCATACGGTTAATTAAAAAGGAAAAAATTGTAAACTTGAGGGTGTTACTGCACTTGGTTGAAATTAACCACATTAATTACCGATATATGCATATTAAGTGTTAAGTTTATATGAGTACCTAATGAAAAGATGAAAATAATAAAGAATTCCTCCGTCGTGGAAAGAACATGAGTACCTAATGCCTTGCTAACACCAGCCTCCTCAAACTCCTTACATCCTTAGGTATAATTAATATCCATTTAATCTTAGGACCAAATAAAGGGGGAAAAAAGGGCGGATTACAATTAATATCCATTTAAGCCTAATTACCGATATGAAGTATTACAATTGAGTGCATGAACATGTAATACTTCTCATAACTTTTACCGATACTTCTTAGAACCGATCACGAACAATAAACATTCTTGAAGTTAATATGTTTCGGGCATATTTAACATTTTAGCCAAATTTTTATATTACATATTTGTCCATATCCTAATCCAAGGAAAAGCCCGTGCATGCTACAGTAAACTTAACAGTCTACGAAAGCATAGAAAAAAAAGAATGATATTAAAACGTTTGAAAATGAAGACTGTGCGAGCTGACACTTCTGACTTCTCCAAACGAACACTTCATCTTCTATTGCCGTCACCTTCTGAGTCTTTGACCACATTGAAGACAACAACAGGCAACAGCGACTCTGGTCTCTGTTTACTTTACCAAATTTCTTTCATTGCGAAGTGCAAAACCTTTTCGGTCACACCTATAATGGTGAGGGTGTCTCTTTTTTCACTTACATCCCAAATTGAACGTGTGTCTTTCCTCATACTTCATATCTCATGCAAGATGTATCTCTCTCCTGGGTTGTGTCTTATATTGGGCATAAGTGGTCACATTCTATTCTGGATGTGACTGAATAGATCCATTTTTAGCTTCAAAACAGTTATGTTTTGATAAATAATTATTAAAATAGTAATATTTGATTTATTTTTTTTGAAATACATATTTAAATTTTTTTTTGCCCATATAAGTGTGATATACTCATCTCAGCTGTTTCTTATGAATGCTAATTTATAATTATGATACATTTGTTGTCCAAATGTTGATTCAAAAGCATTGAAATACAGATGTTTGCAAATAACACTTGAATAAGAGCTTGTTTCCATTGACTATATGATCCCAAGATTGTACAAATTTTAGGACAATAAGCGGTGATGCAATGCATTCCAAGTGATGATAACGTAGCTTTTGAGATCATACCATGTGTTGGACATAAAACAAAATAAGTTAATTGTTAGAATAAACAATAAGATCTACTCCCTCTCACATAGCTGATGTGCTTCCACCTAGCTCATAAAGTAATTGAATAGTGAGGATCTCTCCGGGTATGACTTATCAAGTGAGATTTATTTTAGCACTCTCGCCCCACAAAATATAGGTGGGGCGAAGTAGAGAGAGACTGAAAGAGAGATTAAGGAGAAAGAGGGAGAAAAAAAAAATTTCATATGTCACTCTGTCAACGAGAGGACCGGTCCAAATTTCCTTATCTAGTAATTAAGGTCTTTAGATATATATGAGTAGGGGTGTAAATGGGCCGGGCTGGGGTGAGCTTTGGCCTTCCTGATCTAAGCCGACGTAAAAAAATATTCAGCCTATCTGACCTACTAAAGGTTAGTAGGCTTTATATATAGAGCAAGACTGGCCTATTTTTAAAAATTAGAGAGCCTGATATGGCCTACAGGCCTTGTAGGCCTCCCTCGTGATATATTTTTAAAAGAAATTAATTTTTTTTTAACAATTTTTAAAATATTCGCTTGACATTACAAGTCATTAACGTGTTCATAAATTGCTGTATTTTTTACACGAGATATAAATTTCACTAGTGAGCATTAAAAATTTTACAATAGTAAAAAAAATAACTAAAAAAATATACTGAGTAAAGTTCCATTCATCCATGCACTAGTACTTCTCATAAGAAATAAAAAATGACAAACAAGAAAGAGTCAACATAATACCCCCAGCTCTATAATGTATATCATGTATATAAGAGAGGAATAGAGTGAAAGAAATGGGGAAAATAAAAAAATACAATTACTAGGTCAACCAAAACTGAAATAAAGTCTACAAGAAAATATCATTTATTGAAATATCTTTAAACCACCATCAAGACAAGGGTTGGTACTAATTGCCACCTAAAATAAATATATAATTTTATTTTAAAAAATTAAATAGGTTAGCCTACAAGGCTTTAGGCCAGGCTTGACAAAATTGGCCTACGGCTTATTTGTTAAAAGGCTTGTTTATAAGCCTAATCCTACTCTATTTTTCTACGTAGACCGGGTTAGACTAGGTTCAACGTAGATCGGACTGTGAGATAGGCCAGGCCAGCCTAACCCATTTACACTCCTATATATGAGTTTATTTTCCAGAGGCTTGGGAACTTGCTTATGCACATAACATATTTAACTTTACAGAAATTATCAAGGGTATTTCAATCATTTCACAGTAAAATTTAACACTATTTGTGCTTTAATTTGTAGGGAAGAGGTATTTAGGTTTTGAAAGGTACTGGTACTTTACTTGGACAAAAAACAAAAAATTGAAATAAAAAATAAAAATACTTAGAAAGGGACGGATTTCAAAGGTTCTCGAAGTTTGTTAACATATATTAAAAATCGATGTTATTTGTATTCAGTCTAAAATAATATCATTTTGAGAAAGAAATTTAGATATTTTTATAATTTTATTTTATTTCAGAGTTATAATAATTTTTATCGAGAGATATTATACTTACAACCTATTTTCCTTTACAACCAATATCTTAACTGTTGATTTCCGTCAATCAACGGTTAAGATTTATTGTAAATTAATAATTATTTAATAAATTTTATTTGTAAAAATCTTAACCGTTGATTGAGGGAAATCAACGGTTAAGATATTGGTTGTAAGAGGTTGTAAAGGAAAATATGTTGTAAGTATAACCTTTCCCATCTTTATCATTATAAATTTTAAATCTTTCAATCTAAAATGATATCGTTTTGAAAGTAAATGCAATAATTTATCTGCGGTCACTGTAAAAATATTTCTCTGATTAAAATAGAGCGTTGTTTTTCTGTAACAGTGGCGGAAAAATAATGTCTGCCACAGAGACATTTAAAAAAAAAAGTGGAACCCACTGAATTGAAAATAAAAATAAAAATTCGCCTATATACTCCAAAAATACATTGTGTGAGATAGAAAATTATTTACGCACTAAAAACAAAAATAATTCTCGGTTAAAAATATCTTCCACTGTCACTATAATAATCAGCTATTGCCTAAGAACTTTTGCAAATTTCTTCAGAGACCATCTCCAATTCTTATCCTAGAAGACAAGTCAACTAATTACCAAAAAGATCCATTGCATATCATAGTCATGCAATCACTTCATGAAAAGATGTCAATTGTTGATAAGGGTAGTGAAAAGAAATCCCCAAAATGACAAAATTGGACAAATGGACACGGTTACCCCACTATACCGTAAAGAATACACTTCTCGATTTTTAGAAATATAATTTTCACATTCAGTTTACGATAATATTCGAAAATTTAAAATTTAAAAAAATTCAATTTATCGAAAACCCTACAATAAACCTCGTACCAAACGCCAAAGGTGACATGCAGAGAAATTAGACAGTTTTATTGCATTCTTGGGAGGTATCGGATATCCATTTTATCTGTTTTAGGAGGATTTCTTATCCTCCCCGAGTCACTCTTTTATTACATGTTGTGATATTATCTCTCTAATTATCTAAAAAATATAAAACAACAAACCATCAAATAATCAAATTGTCATTTAACAAAGACATTCGGAAGATGAGACAATGGATGGCAAAATTTTAGGATCTTTTTCCGCAGCATGTGCATCATATTCATCATCAATGTTTCTTGGGACTGAATTCAGTAGAGCACAAAGTGGAAAAAAATATATCATATTCACAAATCACATCAAACCACATATTGAAAGATCCAATTAAGCGAGAAAGAATGTGACATACAAAAGAGAAAGATGTAATAAAAATAAAATTTTCAAAGGCTGAAAAGTCCTTTTGCATTCCAAAGCTTTTTAATGTTAAAAGTATATAGATTTGAATTTCAGGAATTAATAAAAGTAATGGGTTTTTCCCACATAGAGTTCAAAGGAAGTCATTTTATTTGATACCAAAATATTATTCTGCTATTTATAAATATATATTATTCTGCATATAACTTCCCCTGTTCAAGGCCTCTATCAATTAGTTCATTGTGGTAAGGACTTTGACAACCTAATGCATTCAGTTTGCACAGTAAATACCTCTCTGAATGAATGGGAAAAAACAAAAACAAAAAAGCAAAACAAAGCAGCATTGTCATTGACAATCACACTAAATGTAAAACTTGCCACACATTTGCAGTAAATATTGGATACATCAACCATGCTTTAGTAAACTTTTTCTTTTTTGTTTAGGGAAAGACGAGGTTGGAGCCACCCCTCATTGGCTGGAATAAATGTAGTGTATTGTTAGTTGTTTAAGGAAAGAATTGCAGTAATAATTTCTGACTATAACATCAATCTGATGACAGTTGCATTCTAGTGCCATTGTCATCAGAGGACAAAGTTTGATTTTGATCAAGATAACGTAGCTTTTGAGATCATACCATGTGTAACATAAAATAAAAGAAGTTAATTGTTAGAATAAACAATAATATCTACTCCCTCTAACATAGCTGATATGCTTCCACCTAGCTCATTAAGTAATTGAATAGTGAGGATCTCTCCGGGTATGACTTATCCAGCAAGGTCTTCAGATCTATATCTCTCATCTTCTCTAGGAGTTCATTTTCCAGAGGCTTGGGAACTTGCTGATGCACATAACACATTTAAGACAGCCTGAGAAAGCAATCTAGCTAAGCAGTATCAAAATGGAAAGCCTAATAGAAAAAGAATCAGCATACCACTTTCAACCATAGCATGTAACTAGCAGAATGTGTGGCTTGTGCTTGAAAATCCGCAAAATCATCATCAACAAAAGTTGAACAGGAGTGAAGGAGACATAATTCATTCTGCAGAAAGGTGCCAAAGTCATGATACATGCTCATTGCCTCCGTGGAATGGTTGGATGCATCACCAGAATCAATTAGAAAATTATTTATCCAGCACATGGAAAGGAAGCGACGATGAAGCCATAGGGCCTGTGTCAAATGAGTAACGTTGAACATTTGAATATCAAAATCAACATCTCTTTTAACCCAAACTAGTTAGGATTGGTGGTCAATAAACCCTAAAAAAAAGCAAGAAAAGAGTAATGTTGAACATCTAAACTTGTAAGAAAATCACTTAAGAAGAATAACCACTTATAATCAAGGAACCATAAATGCAATTTTGGTTAGCAAATAAAAATAAGATGAGCCCCTCAAAACTGAGATGCAATTGAAGCAATTGCACTTGTATAGTTGCATGAGTCCATCTATATTTTGAGCAACAGGGTATCTTAAGGGGGCATTTGGTAGAGGTTTTTGTTGTAGATGCCCAGGCAACTCCACTGGTATTCTCTCTTGACCATGTTTGGTTCAAGAGCCAAAAAAATATAACCTGCCAAATTGTTTGCCCAACATTTTGGTTTCTTTGCAAAATTTGAAGAAATTTACTATTCCAGAAAACCACTTGCAATGTGGTATTTTGGGGTTTGCCAGGAAACCGAGAAAAGGAGTGTCAAATGGAAACGAAAATGACCCTGAGATATACTGTTGAGTGATTACTGTTGAGACGAAAATGCTCAAGAGTTACTTTTGTAATTTTAACCTATTTTCCTATCAATATTTTACCTTCAACCAAACATAGACTTTGAAAACTTAATTAATTTTCCCGATAATATTTCGCCCTACCAAAAAACTTTTTTTCAACTTTACCAGCAAATTTACTTTTCCACCATTTCTCTTGTCTAGTTAAAAAAAATTTCTCCTCTACTAAACGCCCCCTAATAGTCCGTGCTTATTTGGTACATAAGTTATAGGACGAAATACCAAAGAGGCCCAACAGCTGTCTAATCAATATTAATATTTTTTTTTTGAAATATTCCAATCGGTTCATCGCTTCGCGATTAGTCCGATTCGGGGCGGGTCCAGGATTAAAGCTTTAAACCCCTCCCAAAGATGGTACTGGGGAGGATCGAACACATGCTCTCACCCCCATGCGCCAACTGAGCTACCACCATTTGGTCAATATTAATATAAAAGTGGGAAACAGTTCAATTAGTCATCACATCTCTCCAAACTTAAATCTCTGTTATCGGCCCCTCTATTTTCAAAACTATAACCCCCCCCCCAACCCATAAAAAAAAAAAAAAAAAAAAAATCTCCAAGTTTTAATTTTCACTTAATAAATAACCCCTTTTGTTAACTTTTTGTCAACTCAGTGCAGACATAAGCACCGATAGATATTGTAGACATAATGCCAGAATGATCCGTTGGAATAACTTAATTGCATTGATTCTTATTAACATGTATACAATGTGTTTACGATATCTTACAAATGAGTCAACTATAGATATAAAGAGCAAACCTTGATACACTAGGCTCCTTAACTTGAGAGGATAGGGGTTATGGTTAATTGCACGCAGCCTTACCTTGCATTTTTACAAAAAAAACTATACACATATATATTTGACTATATTTACTCTATCTAACAAGTAAATGTCAATGGTATTTCTCATCAAACTCAAAAATATATTTTCTCAAGTAAAACAAATTAACAGAAATTATTAAGGGTTGAAATTTCACAGTAAATTTTAACACTATTTGTGCTTTATTTTGTAGGGAAGAGGTATTTGTGGGTTTTGAAATAGGAACTAGAGTGTAGGTTTAAGTTTGAGGATGGGAAAGTGCCGGTACTATACCTGGACAACAAAGAAAATATAATTGAAATAAAAAATAAAACACTTACAAAAGGATGAGTATCAAAGGTTCTCGAAATTTGTTAACTTATATAAAAAATATTTTCCATTGTACACTATACTAATCAGTTATCACCAGAGCACTTTTGCAAATTTCTTCAGAGATCATCTCCAATCCTTATCCTAGCAGACAAGTCAACTAATTGCCAAAAAGAGCCAATGTATATCATAGTCATGCAATCACTTCATAAAAAGACGTAAATTGTTGAAAAGGGGAGTGAAAAAGATCACCAAAATGACAAAATTGGACAAATGGATAGAGTTGCCCCACTATGCTGTAAGCAATACATCAAGAGATTAGTACTTCTCTCCCTAAAGGTAACAAAATCCGATGTCATGAGACGAGAAAATGATACTCTCAAATTTCAGGAATGCAAGAAGCCCTTGGATAATGAATGAAGAGATTATTTATAAAAGCTCCAGCTGATCCATGTACCACTTTAGTTTACTAATGATCGACAAATAATAAATTAATAACTAACAAAAGCCACGTACCTCTCTTCCCACATAACGCTTTATCAATGTTTTATTCCAATCAAGTTCGTCCTGTCAAACCATAAGTGTCACATAGTGAAAAGAACTAAACTTATGTGTACTAATAGTAACAGTTATTCAATGTGACAAAAATGATCAAAATGATACAGTAATGTTAGCCCATTCCATAAGTCAATCTTTAGATCTCGTTTTCCCTATCTAAGTTTCAGTGAAGGAAACATATAATTCATAATATTTTTCTGCAGTACGTAATACACTGGATATTTCATTGATAAAGTGTTGTCAAGACCAAGTCCTAACATAGATTCTACCTATCAAGACCATCATTTAAAGTATCTAAGTGTTGGTACCAGTAAACCAGAAACACTGCACTTATGTTGAAATACTGGGACAAGCCCTTACAGGTACCAACCTTAGTACAAGATAAATGAAACAGTAACACAATGACAAATACTCACTGATAAACCTATGAGACACTGTATCTGTAATGGAAATACACTAAACAATTAACTAAGAAATGCAGAAGAACCAATGCACCAGCAGTGACCTCCCTTAATGAGTAAAAGCGCCCCACTCCTCATCAAGCTCCCCTACCTCACCATTTTGCTTACTGACCATCTGATTTCCACACTCCCCCAACCCCTTTTTTTATAACTGACGCCACTTCCTCCTTTCCACCCACTACCTCCTCTCCATTGACTGCATTCCAGGTGTAACTCCTTACAACAAACTCAATTTCCACATTTTCCTTCTCAAAAGCCTTTTCCTGATTCACAATGGACCTTATTCTTTTTTACGCTCATATACCCACTTCAATGGTCCAACACTAAGCAAGAAAGCAATAACAAAAAATTATGCCAATTCAAAACCTTGATCATGATGTTATTATAGTAAATCAGGATACCTAATAAAGTGAGCTTCACTTGTTTGCAACTTTTTCAAGCCTTCTTGTTCAAACTTTATTTTTCCATTCAGTTTTCAATTAAAAATGTTTTTTATAAGCGTTAATGACTTCAGTAAAGCATAACAAATCAATTATTTATTAAAAAATTTACATCTTCGATAACATCAAATTTCTCAATTTTGTAACTCGTGGATCTCATAAAACTGAAATGCTACTTATAAATTTTAATGTCCTACTTCACTCATTCTGCTACCTTTTCTGGAAACAAAAAGAGTATATATATCTGACAGTTTGATAACAATCAATGGTCCGGCTTCAATCCTAAGCCCTTCAGACGAGACTCAAAATAAAGAGCCTATCATATCATGTACAATAAATGAAATGAGCTAGATTATTACCTTAAAGGCTTGGGCAATATCAGCATTATGACCACAAGATATAATTTCTTCCACACAATTTTGGTCCACCATAATCTTCAGCAATAGCCGCTGCAATATGATAGAAACTACGATTGTCCAGGGTGTCTTCCAACTCAATATTGGGTTCAAACAAGTAAATCAAAACTTACTCTGTGATAATGAAAACAACAATTATCAGCAACATGTAGCGCAGCCCAGCTTCTAGAATTCTTCAACTCATACAGCACCTAAATAAGCACAGGTTTAATTCATGGACTTCATGAGAACCATTTATTAAGTCATTGACAATGAAGGATATATTTCCTTTAATGGAATGGGAATGGGAGTAGGAATGGAATAGAATGTTCAACTTTTATTGGTATGGACAGGAATGGAATGTTGAATTATTGATTACATTCTATTTTTTATGTTCAGTATTAATTGATATAAGCATACTATAAAAAATAAATTATGATTTGTCTAGTCAAATAGGCTCGGTGCTTAAAAAAATTATGAGTTAGGCTGGCACATGCCCAGGTCAATCCAACGCAATGTTTTTGGGCCTAAAAAAACACAATTTGGTCAATGTGGGCTGGACCATTTTTTATGCATATTATGGTGAAATAGAATGAGGATTACATCACTTTTGTGGGAAATACCTATTCCTTTAATTGTGGGAATGCTCATTCCCATTCAAAGGACCTAACCAAGTATGGGAATGCAAATGGATCCATTTCATAGCCAAACATGGACTAGTAAGATTAATATCTCCCCTTGCTCCAACAACTAAGGTAAAAAAAAAATTTGAAACATAACTGAGGTAAAATTGCACAAGACTAAATGTGACAAAATATTTCCAAAAGTGAAAACAATTAAGCTGCTACTAAAGTACAGAATCTTTTGGGAGTTTAAGACTTCATGTACAACATTTTATGTCAAATTGATATTGCATCAATTATTTTTCTATGCAATTTGATCCAGAATTCATGCCGTAACACTTAAAGCTTATAAAAAAATTGCACAAGACTAAATGTGACAAAATATTTCAAAAAGTGAAAACAATTAAGCTGCTACTAAAGTACAGAATCTTTTGGGAGTTTAAGACTTCATGTACAACATTTTATGTCAAATTGATATTGCATCAATTATTTTTCTATGCAATTTGATCCAGAATTCATACCGCAACACTTAAAGCTTATAAAAAAAATATCATAGAATCAATACCTGTTCTCTAGTCATGTATGAGATTAACCAGCAACGGTGATTCCATGCACGATAATTCATCTTTGACCTCTAAAAATGAAGGGATAAATAAAAGGAATAAATGGATATTTAACTCAAAATATATGAAGTCTCTAATCTCTATGACAAAAAGGTGAAGCATTAAATAAATCAAGTAAATCATCAACAGAGCTCTTGTTTGTTTTGCATCTATCTTTTTCCCTTCAGCGGGAGGATGTATTGTAGATTATTTGATCTTTACAATCCAATATGGATTGAAATATCAAAGGCGTCTGATAGGAACCAAGTATGAATTGAACCAAGATTAGAAAATTAAACATGTATTTGTGTATATTTGCCTGACATGAGTAGGATAATAGTATCAGTACAGGAAATTACAAACTCTGTGGAAAAGAAAAGGCAGGAAAAAGAAAGAAACAGATATTATAGAGCTTCTGAGAGGCTTTAGGCTCTCCCAATCTTCTCTCTCCATTATTCTGGAAACCCCTTAACACAACCACTACTCCCTCTTTTATCCTCCACTTGTAACAACCTCCCACTCACCCGTAACCACCTTACCCCACAATATTCTATATCATTTGGCCAGATTCTATTTTAGAGAAATGAACCCGTTATGCTTCCTATGATACACCAGCACTAAGGAGGCTTCCTAACAGTGTCAAAGACAAGATGTAAAATAATACGTATGCCAATGTTACAATAGAATCTCATATATATCCCTTTATTAAACAAGGGCCCTGGACAAAAAGTAAAAGAAAAGCAACGATTTTCCTTCTCTTGTGTAGGCAAGCCCATCAATTATGCCTACATAAAATAAAACATTTCCAATTTAAACAGTATGCAGTTCCTGTACTGGATTTAGACCTCAGCTATTTTTTCCACCAGCTCAGATTCTTTTCCCAGAATCTCTTTGAAATTTGAACAGTTTGCGGAGATTGACTTGATCACCCACCGCCTAGATAAAATACTTCTATGCATTAGATTGCTATTCATGTTCCAAAGCCTCAGGATCAATCAATAGTCAAAATTCACACCTATGACATACTCAGAGAAAATATTTATCATTTTAGCGATGAAGGCAAAGCCATAAGAAGCAATTGTTACATATAATACCTATGATTCCAAGCTTGTTCACTTTTGGGAGAATATGACAGCACAAGTTCTGACAGGAGAAGTTCATCTACAAACATTGAGAGCTGCTTCTTCTTGGACACTACTAACTTTCTGCAATATGCAAAGAAAAAGTTAAAGAGGTTTGTAACATAAATCAAACTCCTAGTCCTCGCATATTTTCTCCATTTTTGTATGTTTTCTTTCCTTGCAATTCTAGAATGTTATTTTCAATATATTTATACTCTCAACAATATTAAAGCTATAAACCCCAAACTGTAAAAAAAATAAAAAAATAAGAATTCTGCCAAATTGCACCAATGTTTCCTTAAAACCTGTAGATCAAAGAAAATCACAAAATAAGCTCAATTCAAGAAAACTCAAAGAGATGATTTTATTTACATTTTGACTGCAAAAGAGAAGACAGAATCACTAGAGTTAACCCATCATATATGATTAAATCCAGAATATATAAACCCAGTTGAGATATTCCAGATTTAAAAGCAATTAAGAAATCTTTTAGCTGCTTTAAAATATTGTTTTGAACTAGGCAAACAGATCAAATAAGTTCAAAATGAAACCCCCTTCCCCGGTCTTCTTTTCCTCTCCAAATTAGAAGATATTACCCTCAATTAAATAGGCCCTTAGTTTACCTGAATTTCTATTAGTGAAGGATGAAGATAACAAGATAAGTACTACAACAACCCAAGCATTTTCTCACTGGATGGAGCCGGTTACATGGATCAAACAATTGTATTGTGTTCTAAAATGAACTAAATCCTCAGAATGTCTATTTAAATCTAAGTTCTTTTCAATGGTTTTACCTAGAATTTTTCTTGGTCTCCCTCTACCTCCAACTATAGGGCTATCCTGCATCTGGTCTACTCTTCTTACTGCTGCTTCTATTGGTCTTCTTTTTACATGATCAAAGCACCTTAGGCAAGAATCCACCATCTTTTCCTCAATAGATGCTACTGCTACTTTCTCTCTAATGCATTCATTCTTGTTCCCATCTTGTCTTCTATGTCTACTCATCCGCTGCAACATCCTCATCTCTGTAACACTAAGCTTATGTTCTTGTTGGCTCTTTGCCGTCCAATATTCACTACCGTACAACATCACGAGTTTTATGGCTGTGGTCTAAAACTTTCCTTTAAGTTAGAGAGACACCTTTCAATCCCAAATATGAAAGAGAATATGGCTCAATGAGGCCATTTTAGTTAGCAAATAAAAGGTCATTTGGACACTTGGACACAGGACAACACTATCACACAATTAGTTATAGTGAGCAGGTGAAAACAATTTGTTGGAATCAGCCAACTTATGATGTCGACTTACACATGTCAATAACATAAGTATAAAAAATGATCAAAAAATAAGAATTGAACCTGCAATTCCAAGCAGTCATAAAATCACAGCTTAGCAGCAGGAGAGACCTGCTGTGTCTCAGTAGTATACTTTCAAGATGGTCATAGGATGAAGAGGCAGGTAAACAAATTCCAACTTTGTCAGATTGATTGTCACACATCATGTACTGTTTAAATGTAGTCATAAATGCATGTTTAGCAGCTCTATATAGCGGTAGAAGAACATGAGTTGAAATTCCCAATTTATGATCTCTGTTCCAGAAATATAGGTTCTCTTGTTTGGCACATTCCTCAGAGCTTGTTATCCTGTCTGCTGATTGATGGATAGCTTCATCAGATAAATTAGACGAAATTCCTGATTCCTTATTTAGCAAGGAAAACTGGGATGGATGAATAAACCCCAGTTCATCACTGGATCCAAAAGCATAAGGGAAAACATATTAAAACAAGGAAAAACAATATAATTAAATCACCCCACAAAAAATAAAGATTGACCTTTACAGAGACATTGCTAACAAGGTGTTATTTTAACAAGTTAAGGTTATATCTTACAATAACTTCTATTATCCACAGATTTCACGAGTGAAGTTCACGAAATTTACCAAGAATTAAGAAAATCATTTTTTTATATGAACTAAAACAATACTATTAAGCATCAATGATGAAAATGTTCCAATTTTCGAAGTGGTTCATCGAGTTGATGAATTATATGTTATAACTCAAAATCTCAAGTAGCAAGTAGTAAAATGAGAAACAAAAGAGTACAGAAACAAGTCAAATAACTAAACACAAGTCATCCCCACAATATGTACATAAAGGCTATGAAATAAGCCTCAAACTGATGGCAGGTAAGAGAAAACATTGTCATGAAAGTTTTTACCTAGTGGGCCAAGAATTAATACTAGACAAACCAAAAAGCAAAAGGAAATGACAATTCCATTCTTCATTTTCTTCATTTCATCTTGAACCATACGGAAGGAAACTTTCAAATTTGCTGATATGGGATGAAGTACTAGTTCTCTACCATAAAATTCATGAGTTTCTAAAGCAACTATCAGGGCAAGAATTATATCAGTCCGTGTGCATGAAATCAGTAAACCTTACATTAGAGCATCAGATTCAAGGATATCCTCTAACTGATGCAAGAGATCCATAGCCTTTCCTTTAGAATTCAACTCTTCACTTGAGTTTGCCGTCCTAAGGCGCCAACTTCGAACAACAAAAAGGGATGGAATCTGTTAGAGAAATTAAATATAAAATATAAAAATCATTAATGTGCCTTCACCTAATAGCTGAAACTTTTGGATTAAATTGGTTATTTACCCGGTATTAGAGCCTCTATGACCAAGTGGTCTAGAGTTCGATTATCACCGCCCCTAATTCTATTTATAAATAATTAAATATTGCGGAATTTCTTAGCACAGGTAGATGGGCTTGTGAATTATTCATCCTTCAAGCCCGATGGACTCTTATGTGAAGGGAAGTGTTAGAGAAATATAATTGCCAAAACCATTTCATGTGCATTACATTATAGCTTAATCTTTTGAGTTGAATTGGTTCTTTACATGATCAATTGCCAAAACAATTTTATTGAATCATATGAGGAACGAAGTCATTACATTATAAAAGAAACCCTTCGTAGAAAAGAAAGAAAATCAATAACTATCAATCAATTCATTTCATATAACTAACTACAATATCAGCTACAGAGTCCATGACAAGCATTTGCAAGTAAGTTTCGGAGTCCTTCCACAACCGCAAGGTGAAAATGGTTAAATCTCTAACACCACACAGAAATTGCAGCAATAATCCAGTAACAAGAAAATATTCAGAAAACGAACAAGGCAAATGGATAAGAGCCAAAGAAGTTCCAACAAACAAATGAAATTGTAACAATCAGATCCAGCAATTTCAAGAATAAACCCAAAAACAGAGACAATTTGTATTAAATTCAGCAATCAACAGTATCAATTACATAAGAACTCCATGATAATATTTCTCCTATGAACTTCCTAATTACAGAACTGAATTGGAAATACAAAATAAAGCAATAAAGAAAGATAGATTCAGAGGTGTTGGAGAGCCCCTGACCTCTCCCAAAGGTCCAAGTTCTAATTGCCCAAAAAGATACCCCACTCTTTCCACGCTGCTGCCTATTTAACTGAATTCACTAACAAGCTTTCCCTCCAATTGATGAGTCAGCCTTAGGGTAAGTAATTCCCTGCACCCTTGCCTACGTAAACTTACTGTTGAGCCCCTAATATCAGTTATGGGTCGTAACAGAAACTGAACCCACACAAGCAAATAAAGCTCTTAAAGACTTGCACATCCCTTAATTGTCAGGTATGAAAATGTAACGCCTCGTGTGTGGCCGGTACGTTAACCCTTATGATCTCAAACGCGGTAGGCAAGTTCATTCATGAAGAGAGGTAAATCCAATTAGGAATTAATTGAATAAAGAAAACTAGCCACGAGTTACAAGGCCACTTCAACTTGAAATTAAGCACTTAACTATGGAAATTGGAGGCACAAAGCAAGTAGACAATAGTAACCAGCCAATGAGTTTATGCCCACAAGATTATTAAGAAACAGGAAATGCATATTTAAGTTTCATATATGAGATTGCTTATAAGGGAGGTATCACAACTTACCTTGTCACTTATTTTTCATTTAATCATTACGTGGGTGGATTTCTTGGGATCCCCATTTGTTATCATGGTTTCAATATTATGGGTCAACAACTCTAAACTCTGTAACGGGAACCATGACCAACTTAAGGTGATCCCATTTCTATTACTCCATATTTAGTATTATTACTATTTCCAACTTATTGGGCCAGCCTTACTTACTTATTCGCTGATGAACATGATTAGAATGGAAGCCTTGAATGATGCAACATAAAGGGTACTAAAATTAATTAATCTTATATGACAGCACTACTTCATGTAACCTAATGAAACGCTTCATGCTTAAAACAGTCTATACGCTCCCTTTATACTCCGTAAAAATACAATATAAAGTCCTCATCTGCCAACTTACATTTCTTGGAAATAAGTCATACGTAAGAATCATTTCAATTCCTTTAATTAATCTAGGGACTTAACTTATGGCATGGATTACATGGAAATAATGTATTTCATTCGGAGCCTATTACTGGGAATCTGGGATGAAAATTCTGGTGTGGACCTGTACTTCTCCCATTTTAAGTTTAGCTATAATCCTCAAAATGACAACACAAGATACCATTAAGGTTTCATTGACCCCCAACATCATGAGGCAACATATCACATTGGATGTTCACCACATAAGCAACATACATCATTCTTATAACAGTTTACCTCCAGCACAATATCTATCAAAAGAAACTCCTATTTCTTCTTTCTATTGTGTGGCGGTCCACATACATCCAGAGGGCCATTTATATCAGCCATTCAAGAGGATCATTTTATATACTAAGTCAGCCATATTACAAAATATCTCCTAATCATATAGCCCATATATCACAACTACACAAATTCATCAAAATAAAACATATTTTTCAAAATACAACATGCTTCAAATTATACTTCATGTGATAGTTCCCACAAGTGCACAACATCCATAACCACATAACAGCCCTACTCTTGCCCATTGGATCCTTCAATGGCCTCGCCTTTGTCATTTTTTTCTCCTGCTATAGCAGCCCTAAAAGGGGTGAGGTTTTTAATATCAATAACCCATGGAATTCTTGAGGTATTTCCCTCAACCATTCGGATTCTTCTCTGCCTAAGTGCCTAAGAAAATATTGGCAACATATGAACATAAGAAAAGATATAAAGCTTCCCTAATGACATTATAACAGTTAATAAAGAAACATATATGCATCATTCTCTTCTCCTTACACCTCCATGAGCCTCTTTTGCTCAAAGTAGGACATCTCCTGCGAGGGCCAAGGACTTATAAATACTTTGCGCAGCATATCTTCATTCTCTTAGCTGATCTTATACTCTTCTCATATCAGCTCTTAGAGATGCACACTTGGCAGCCAATCTCAAAGCATAGCAATCAACTATTATTGCTAAATCAGCCATTTATACATTAGGATACATACATTCACTGTTAATGACTTAATAGGTACTAATCACAGATTTTTATATGCAGAAATTAAGAGTAAACAAAGGCCACTACCATATCAACAATTCACCATATTCATACATGTAATAAGTACTGAAAAAAAACACTTCATCAACAACATTTCATTTCTAAGCAACAAATCTTCCAAGGCTATATCAGCCTTGGCCGAATATATTAAGGGAGAGAAGACAATTTTTCCAAGGTTTACCTTGTGAACTTTCAAGATTAACTCCAGCTCAAGCTTTTTCCTTCTTAAACTGAACTTCCACAGTTTCAAAGCCTCTCTCTATAGCCTTCTTTCAGACCCACTTCAGTTTTAGGATTCCAAAATTGAATACCCAACCTACAGCCTATTCTTGCACTTAAGTTAAAGAGTTTCTAGTCTTCCTTCAACATTCCTCTCATTTTCCTACCAAAAAAAAAAAAAAAAGAAATTGAAAAAGAAGTGTAGTTCAAAAAGTTAGATTCCTAACTTCCAGGAGCTTGTCTCGGTCACATGAGGAGGATAAGACATGAGTTTTAACCATTCTTACCGTTTGTCCACACTTTAGGGGCTGTAATCCAACCTTTTACTTCGTAAAGCTCCCAATAAATAAATAAAAAAAATGCTTCTCACTTGCTCTAAATTGCAGAAATTCCCCAGGGATTCTAAGACTCTTCCTTCGGTTACAACAATTTGTGGAAGAATGGAAGTTTTCTTCCCACAAGGTCAATGGCTTTTTGGAAGAGGTTAAAAGTGATTTCCTTTGCATGCAGGAGATGGATATGAAAGTGGTAATTATGGTGTAGAAAGAAAAATTTTCTCATTGAACAAGAACGGAGCAGCCATACATGCAAATTACAAATCACACGGTTAGATTCCATAGAGTATTAAACAATATTGTGTGAGTTAGTTCATGGAATCACCACTCCTCAACACTTTTGAATTTCAGATTTTAAACCTGCTAATATTATGAAATGTCCTTGGGCTTATCCAATTTACAAGACAGCCCTCCTAATTTTTTTTCTTTCAAAAAAAAAAAAAAAATTAAAACCACCACAAGCATAAGTCCTAGAACTGAACTTAGCGTCACACCCACAATTATTGTGTCCCAATGCTGCAAAGCCTCTCTCGCACATTTTAACAAACAGGTCATAGGCACTCACAACATGGCCACTTCTAACTTGCTTATCGAAGACCCAGATGTGATTATGAATACATAAAGCTATTTCAGTTTCAAAAATAAAAGAAAGAGACTCCTCTGTCCTCTGGGTATGCACAAACTTGCAAGTTCCTTTGGAAAGAAGGGTTATCATTATCATGTAAACTAAGCAAAGCAAATTGGGGACCAACAAATACAGCTTACAGAACCAAAAGTGTGAAAGCCAATGATGCAATTGCGAAGAGAATGAGATAGGATATGAATCAAAGTTCAGTTTCGAAGAGTTACCAGTTGCCGTTGTGATCTCTGACCTCTCTCTTCAAGAGTGTGTAATCTGGTTATGGTGTATACTCATAATAACTCATAAATCATTAATTTAAAATAGAATATGTTATATTTACAAACTATTTAATTTATAAACTCTTATACTCAATAAATTATAATTGTTAAATTAATAGAAATTAATAATTAAAATTTGATTATAAGAGTTTATAAACTAAATAGTTTGTAAATAACTAAATATAATCTCACTCTTTACAATAATATTTGTTGGTTTTTATAAATATTTTTATACATTCCATAATGTTGCATGTAAATTATGAGAAAAGTGTGTATCATTTTAAATGATACAAGTTATGTCATTTCCTAGACACAAGTTATATTATTTCTTAGACACAAAGGGGGATCCCACTAAAAAAATAAAGACAAAAAATAAAATAGAGATGCGGGTCACACCTTTTTATGTATGTAAAATGACACAACTTATGTCATTTGAAATCACGCACACTTTTTTCATTAATTATTCTATGGTCTCGATTAATTTGAATGATTATTAATATGTAAGATGGGCCCTAAAGGCTCGTTTGGTGGACATGATAGAATAAGAGTAGGATATGATATGGGGTTGATAAGGATAGGATATAATATGGAGCTGATAAGCCTATATCATGTCTTGTGTTTGATGAACACCTGATTAGCAATCTGATAAGATTATGTAGAAGGAGAAAGGAAAAAAAGAAAAGAAATATAATGCAATAAATACAAATATATTGGGTAGCGTGAGGATATATTGGGTAGCGTAGGGATATATTGGATATCCACTATTGGTATCCTATCCTATTGAATCCTAACCCAACTTTCCTCATAGGATAAGAAATCATGTATTGGATAGGATAAAATAAGACAATAGGATAAACTAATCATATCCTATTGACCCACCAAACAAGAGATAAAAGTAGGATATGATAAGTTATCATATCCTATCTTCTTTATCAGGTGCTCCAAACAGGCCCTAAGAGTATTATTCAATTCCGAAGTTTGATTCATTAATAACTAAATAATAAACCTACATATCAAATGATGGTAGCTTAGTTGGTGTATAAGAGCTGAGCATGTGAAGGTGAGAACATGTGTTTGTTCCTCCACAGTACAATCTTTGGAAGGGGGCTTACAGCCTTAGTCGTGGACACACCATGAATAAAATAGCATCTTGTAAAAACTTGCACCGTTAAATTAGAATTTTAGTAAATTAATAATAATAAATTATGATTTTGGGATGAGAATGAGATAGGATATGAGTGAGTGTGAGGAGACATTTGAGCTAAAAAATGGCAACTTTTGAAGCATTTTGGGATCACTGATGGTGGTTTGAGTTGCATTGGTGCTTGAATATCACTCCTTTGAGGCTTGTGACTCCATTTGTGGTAAGTATTCTCAATCCCATTAAGTTTTGTTGATAATTTAAAAATGGGTATAAAATTTAAATATGTGTGAGTTGGTTGTGGTAGTTAGAGGCATGTAATGGTAGTGTCTCTTTGAAATTAATTGATTAGATTGATGTCTTGTTGATGAAAAATGAATAAAATTTTAGGGCACGAAATTATGACACTTAGAATAAATTTTGATGGGGAAAGTTTGGTGAAATTCATGAAGTGAATTTAATATTGGGTGATGGAATTGATAATTTGTTGTTGGAGTATTTAATTTAGTTGTTGATTGGAGACATAAGTCACTTGAATAATTGAAAAACTCCTTTGGGCCTATGTTGACATACCCCTCGGCTATGCTTGCAAATTTGGGAAAATATTGCAAAAATGATGTTGGGGCTTGATGGATGATGTGTGGGTGTGTTGGTAGCTTGGTTGGTGAATTTAAATGGTAATTGAAAGGTGTTAAACTTGAAAAGTCTCCCTTGAATCCTCCTTGGTGTGCTCCTCGGCTAAAGTGAGAAAAAATAAGTGGAAATGTTACTGAGATTGTCATCTCACCTCGTTTGGAGACCATTTTTCAGGTGCTGATATCCATGAGTTGGATGCTTTTCAAGGCAAGAGGCTGGCGTAGATATTTTAGCAGGACATGCATGGATTTTATTTATATGCTTGTATTTAATGGGGTTCATCAACCGATCCAAACCAATTCAAATCGTGATAATCGAACTGAAAAATCGATAATCGAATTAACCGAAAATTGAAAAATTGAAAACCATAAAAAATCGTAAATTCTAATTGAATTGGATCGATTTTCAGATTGATTGGTAAAAATCGATTCAATCCAAACAGATCCAATTTATTAATTTCTCTCTACCTACTTGGGTCTTTTTCCAATCATAGCCCAAAAAATTCTAAACCAAAGACCCATTAACACATCAACTAAAAACAAGAAAAAACCTAGCCACACCCTATCAGCAAATTTTCACTTGTGTAGAGCTTCATATCTCATTACCAAAAAAAAAAATTAGATTATCATTTACTAATAATTCTGTATTTCAAAAAAAAAAACTTCACAAAGCAAATACATACAAAATATATGTTATTTGCACAATAATCATCAAACAAATTTTAGGCTTTTCAAAAAACCGAAAACCTATCCAATCCAAACCGAAAAAATTGAATCGGATTTGAAAAAATCCAAACCAAATGGATGATTACATGATCAAACCCAAGGAATTGGGTTAGATGATTTTTGCTTCCAAAATCGATCCAATCCAGACCGCGAACACCCCTACCTGTATTTACTTGGACATGATTATTATATGCGAGACTATGTATGTTTTATTTGATGTGAGCATAAGGATTGTCTATGCCACTATTAAATAATTTGTTTTAGTGTTGATTTGAGGACATGTATATACTTACACCATGACTATGGATGTTGATATGCCTACTTGATGTAGGAACATGATTAGTTTGTGATTTTATTGATATAAGACAGGAGTTGTAATGATGGACATTATGTTATTTCGAATACTGCAATACATAAGATAGTAAGGAAAAAAAAAAGTTTATTCACATGAAAGATAATAGATAAATGGATAAGTTAACATAGAGCTTCCACGTTTAGTTAAATTTCATAAGATAATACATCATTTTACCACTTGCTATGATAATACACTGGCAGTAGACAAGGTGTTACACCCCTCGTGAAGAATACTTGTGGTTTATCAAAACAACATAAGCTTACATAGTTTAGACATATATAATACTAGACCAACAAACAAATTTCCATTTTTTTTTACATATATAATATCTAGAGAGCGCTAAAGCGCGCTAAAATGAGTGAAAAATATCTGATATAAGTGCTACCACACTCTGCCCAACATTTCAATTTTTGAGCTTTACACCTTGTTGGTTCATGGGGACCACTTGATGATGATATATGAATTATGTATAATGAATTTAAATAAAGTTTAATGTTTCCGAATAATGTATAAGTTATAATTACGTTTTTGAATTAATTCGATACAGAGAAAGAGTTTTATGAGTAAAAATATATGTAATAGGAAAGTGAAAAAAGAATTGTAATTAATTCAACTAATATGATTGTAATTGTGTTCAACAAACCGGTCATGAACGGGCGTTACAAACCCAAAATTACAAAATAATAAATAATTAGGTAGTTAACTTTGATGGTATAAATATACAATGATACAAGTAAACTACAACGAGAGGTGAGTGGATCTTCCTATCTCACATAATCAGTCATATCTTTGCACCACGTATAAGAAGCTAGATGATGTAAATTTTTATTTCTTTTATGTTGAATTAAAATGATGTAGATTTCACTTTGGTCTAGGGACAATCCAACTAAATTTTAGGATCTGACGTATTCAAAAGGTAATCCAACTAAAACTTAACGATTTGATTTGTTCAAAGAAATAAATTTTCTTATAGATTCTTCTTTATAGTTATAACTATTTATTTGACAAAAAAAATACATATAAGGCTCATAATGAAAATATTTTAAAATTTTGAGGGGAGGAAATAATTAATTTTATAAGGAAAACATCATAAATGAGGTAATTAAGTACTCCTTTAGTAGGAGTATGAAAAAAATGAGATTCAAGTAATATTAACCATAAAAGAATGAATAGAGTAATTTCATTTTGATAAATTATTTGTTTTTAACTTTAATAAATAACGTATTGAGTCTTCAATTTTACGGAAATATTAAGCGTATTTTCCTGATTTGATACATTCTATTT